TATCATGGACAGGGCACCTACAGCGCCAGCAATGGGAATTGAAAGTGTGGCCGGTGCTACCCACCAGTATGTGGAACAGGCAAAGCAGCCAGACAGAATCCCACACTCAGCAGCAGTAAAGTAGAGAGCTCCAGAGAATCCACTCCAAACACGAAATGGCACTTCTGAGAAAAAGACCACCACACCTCCTTCTAGAGGAAGCAAAAAGACCTCACATAAGTCAGACGATTTTAGAAGCAGCAATTTTGGGAAACTGCTCAGAATGCTTTCCATTTAGAAGGAGCACGGCTATTAGAAAACCAGTCCCTTGGTTCAGTAGAGAGACTTCCAATTGTGTTCCTCTGAAAGAGTCCTACCATCTTCAACTTTCTCTTCACCTTCCCTGTTTTGTGGGATCAACGGGGACAGGATGGAAAAAATAAGAGTAACTATTCTGACCCTGTGAATGACTATCAGAGGAACGTCCAGCCAAATCTGCTGGCTGGTGGAAATCATTTGACATCATGAATGAACTTCAGTCAACAATATTCACTTTTTTCTTCAAATGCTCATAACACTACTGTGCACCATGTTTTTTCTCGAGATGACAGTGTGGTTATTGCCATCTGGCTGGTCTTGAACAGCTCCACAGACAGGGCTGGCCTCATGGGAGAGCAACCTATGTAGTCAAAGAACCACACGCTTTGCTTGGTTTAATGCTCTGTTATTGCGTCTTGAATTTCTTAATTTCTTAACAGGTCTTGAACAATGGGCTCGCATTTTCATTTTGCACTGAGCCCTGCAACTGTGTAGTTGGTAGTGCCCGTTGAGGAAGTTGGCAAACATCAGCATTCCTCTTCTATAGCGTAGGAAGACAGATAACCGCCAGATCTGCCCCATGGCATTCATCATAAAGCCCGTCTGTGTCTTTAACTCTTAAGAATCTAAGAGGAATGGAAATGATAAAGAAGGAGCAGAGAAGATGTTTAGAAGGAGCTAAGCATCATGGGTGTAAGGGATGGGAAGTGACGGATGCAGTGAGCTCCCCTCTGCACTGGAAAGGCCTGAAGAGAGAAAGGTCTGGAAAACAAGCTTCAAGGAGCTGGGAGGCAAAATGGAAGAAACCCAGCTGACTGAGGGTTTCCCTGAAATGCTAGAATGCCATGGGTGCTGAGCACTGACTTCTGGGAGTGCAGGATATCACATCTATTCATCTCACCCTGTTGTGGGCATATAATATTCCTCTTCTGCCTTAGCTTCTCCGGACATAAACAGTCTGCTAAAAGCATCCTCTGTAATTCTGTAGCTTAGAGAATCTACTAGCCTTTCACAAAACACCTTGCTAATTCTCTCCTAGGCTGACCACAATTTTTGTCTCTTACTATTTTACTGGATCCTCAAAAGATGTCTACTGTCGTGAGCAATGGACTTTGCTCAGACCTCGTCTCTTGGCCCCTCCACACCTCATAACACATTCACAGCCCCTCTGATGCCGCCTTCAAGGCCTTGTCTTTTCCTCCAGTCGTGAGACCCAGTGCTCTTCTCGGTGCGTTGTCTGCCCTCTGACTGCCATCTTCTCTTCTCCAGTGACATCTTAGTCCACTGCCCTTTTAACTGCAACCCTGCCTCCTGCCCCAGCCACCCAATCCCCTCTGCTGGGCAGACCTCGAGCCTGGTACCCCCAGCCGAGTCTTACTGTTCACGACTCTCATCACATACCCACCCAAGCTCAGTGAATACTTCCACACGGATGTCTAGAAAAGCGCAGCGTTTCAACGCTTCTAAACTTCTCTCACTGCAAAACCAGCGCTCGCTCCTATCTAACATCCTGCTCCTCCCTTTGGATCCCGGCCTCCTCACTGCTCTCCTGCCTCCTGACTGACTTCTCTCCAGTGACCACAGTGTGTACCTCCCTGCCCTTCTCAGACCCTCCCTCCCAGCCGGAATGCTGGGGCCTTAAGCGCCCACATATTCCTTAAGATCAGCTCAAATTTCATCACTTCTCTGAAGACATCTCTGGCTACTCAAATCCACAGCGAGCTCTTTGTCGTAAACTCAGGACACTCAAAGTCAGTGCCAACTTCTGGCACTGAAACATACACTATCTTGTCCTATGACTCTGAGTTAGCTTTTCATGTGAGTTGCCGTTACATCCACAGTTACACTGTCTTCTGCTTGAGGGCTGGGATATGATTTTAAATTTGCTGAAACTCCCAAAGGGGATGAAGTAGAGCGAGGTACAGAATAGTGCTCAATCAATATTGTTAGACAAAAGAAAATAGCATTCTCATCTATAATTGTTTGGCCTTCTTTTGATTTATAGAGTAGTTTACCACCATTCTCAAATAAATTTATTTTATTTTAAAGTGGTATAATTTCTTGAGTGTTTTGCTTTAAAACTTGCTGTAACTAGTCAACATGCAGAAGGGACATCTCAAACATGGTCGGCTTTGTCTGGATGAAAAGCTATTACCATTTACCCCTGTAAATCACAAACAAACAAGTAGTGCCTTCAGCTTCAGTAATATTCCACTAATGCTTTTTAAACAAAGATATATGCAGGCAGTGAGTGACTCAGCTTCCAAAATAGGCCTAAATAAAAATAATCACATTGTTTTAGAACAGAAGATTGTGTTTAATTGGTAATTTGTGGGTTCTAAGATGGAAACACACGACTGTGGATTCTAATGCTCTGTTAATAAATGAATTACAGTAATATAATCCAATTACTATTCATCTCAATTGAACAGATAACTTTCCCTAAACAAAAAACAAAGGAACCAAAGAGATCCAGTTTACCTTTGTTTTCTTTGAACAGATGGAACTGAAAACTGATTTTAAAAAAAATAATGCCGAAATGCCTCAATGGGCTTGGTGCATAAAATGCTCAGCATAATGATACATGCCCTGCAGGCCTTTGAACATGCCTCCACTGCCTGCCAGACCCCAGGAGTGACTGTGAGGCGGTCATAGTCATTAGGTGGAAGCCCCGTCTAAGAAAAATTGCTTTTGTGTGACACCCTCACGTTAAACAGACCAACTGTCTGACAATTCCTCAAAGGACAAGAGTCCCCAAGTGTCCTCATCTCTACATCATTCTCAGTCCACGGAAAACATTTTTATTCTTCAGCAGTTCCAGCCAGCCCAAGACGAACCAAATAGTTTTCATGGGCCAGGCCTGGGATCGAAGAAATATTATTGATTATATTTGTTGTATGATTTCATGTGTTGCCTAGACACCAATCTCAAATATTTTTAACTTCTGTATCCTGCATTCTCAAAGCAAATCCAAGCTGGTCCTGCTTAATAATATTAAGTATTTTCCTTTGTTAAAAACTAGTATTCAGCCTAAGGACCATTAATCAGAACTGTCAAGCGTAATAGAAATCCACAGGCTGAAGAATAATTCATAAAACATCAAGACCCAAAGCACTGGCAGGCAACACCCAGGAATTCACCAAGTGGACTCTCAGAGCATTCCCATCGTTACTGGAGACTGGTGCTAGAGCAATGGTGATAGCGTTCTTGACGTCTCATAATGAGGGTCAAGTGGTTATGTTATGGTGACATCATTTATGACGAGAACTCATAAGAATAGGTTGAGAAGATACAACTTAATTTTTGACTCTGGGTTATGGAAAAGTACACGGACAAGATTTGTCTTCCCATACCCCTATGTGAAGATGTAACTAACCCACCCAGATGAGACTCATTAGATGACTGAGTCTTATCTTCTTTGACAGCTGGCTCAGCTTGGCAAATGCTTTGTAGGTTTTTTAAACAAAATTGAAGGCTTTCAAATAGTTTGGTTATTTTATTAAGCCTCAAAATTGTGGACAGAAGAAAACTATGGAAAACTGAGGTTGCAATTCAACTCTTCTTTGCAGATGTCCAAGTACACGTTAACGTCACTCAGAAAACGAAACATGGGAGAAGTGAGTCTGTTTTGGGGATGACCGTTGTGCTGAGAAGCTCTTTCTCCTCATAGCAGACAGCTCAGAGGAGCAGCGCGTGGCTCATTCAGCACTCGTCCCACAAACATTTCTTGAGAAACTACAAAGTATGCCAGGCCCTACTTGAGAGACAAAACTAGAGTCCCTCAATCTTCAAGGTTTTCACAATTCAACTTTGAAATCAGACACATCTGCAACCACTTTATACCTGAAACACCTTATAGCATGTTCTCCACAATTAATAATCAGCTTCAATAAACCCTGTCTCCAATCTCTACATTTTTTAACAGTCAATCTCTAAGTGGAACAAGCATAGATCTTCAATGAAGTTCCAGTTTACTTATCTCTGAGACTATCTCCTTATCTTTAAAATATGAATAACACAATTTATCTCACAGGACTTTCATAAGGATGAAACCAAACACACACAATGGCTAGGATAAATGGTTCAATAAATATCAGTTCTCCCTGAAGAAAAATACCAGTTCTCCTGGGAAAAAAAACCACCCATGCAATTGCTTTATGTTTATAAAGAACATTTTGCTATTACCAGAAGGAAATTTTCAATTCTATTTACAATTTCATTTTTCTTTGGGGGAAAGAAAACTCAGAATGCCAAAACCAAACAAACAAACCCACACGACTGGTTACAAAGCCACAATTCTATTTATAAAGTATTCAATTAGAGAACTTTCCCTTAATTTACCCTTAGTAAGCTAGGCCTGTTTCCTTTATTCCAACAGTTGCATTTCAAATTTGCAGACATCATCTACTCACAGTGTTCACCTCATCGGCCCTTGTCTATTAGCAACAACCTCATTTGCAGTGGTCTTCTCGGACCAAGTGAGCTCTCAGATATCTTCTACCTGCTACTCCCCAGGCTGAGAAATCCAACTCTTAGCCCTAGAAGAGATGCAAGACTTAACTACTACCTTGTCTTTATTCCCACAAAGAAAATGTGGTTTCTGCATCTGAATACAGAAGATACATTATTGGTCAAAAATGAAACACTGAACAGCAGTTTAGGTCTCAATAGTCTTTAGGAAAATAAAACATTAACGGAGTTACCATTGGCGACTTTAAGTATTGGTGAGGTTGATGATGATGAGAAGAAGGAGAAGGAGATGGTACCGACCATGATCATTTCTACCATTTCTTAGGTGCACGCATTGTGTGAGGTGGATTCGTCTTCTCAAATCTGTCCTTGGTCAAGTCTTTAACCAAAGTGAAACAAACAGATTGTAAACAGTTTGTCTCACAGTCCTATTTTACATTTAAGGATGTTAAGGTTCAAAGAGATTAAGCAACTCATTCAAGCCTGCATAGTTCTAACAAGCGGTAAATCCAGAGTTTAAACCCAATTTCCAGTGGTCCCAAAGCCCACTCTCTCCCCACTACTTCACCTGCCAACATAATAAACGATTAACGATGACAACAAAGGGGATTCAGCAACCATTGGGAAACTTATTTTTACTAGCATTTCCAGAGATACAAAGAAAACACAAATTCTTATTTACATGGTATCCCAAACAGACCAGAGAACATTAAGGAATGCTTTCCAGAGGTGGACTACAAGGCATCTCTACAAAGGCTCATTTCTGTTCATAGAAAAGCCTGGTCTGCTGTGCCCAATACAAGCATTCAAAGAACGGAGTTGGAATAATGCCCCACATTCCACCAGGAGCCCGAGCCCATCCTGGATGGTATTTCATGGTGCTGAAGGCTCACTCGCTGAGGTTCTATCACAGCAGTTTTTAATCTTTGGAGATTCACAATCACCTGACCTCTTTCAAAAGTCTTCTCAGTCAGTGCTTGGGAGGAAAATCACAATTTTGCATTCTAAGAAGCCCGCAGGTGGTGCCATGCTGTCCACATATCACACTCTGAGTAGCAAGGTTCTAAACCAAAGTCAGAACATTGACATAGCCCCGAGTGGGATCCCTAGTTTGGAGCCCATACAATCAACCTGTAGCCTGCACTGTGGATGTTTTGCCATGGAGTCTGACGACCAATATGTGAAGCAATCCTTTGTGAGGAATGAAGGAAAAGAGGTAAATAGAACAGACAATCTACAGGTAAAGCTTTTGTAATCAGCCATTCGCCAGAAAACACATAAATCCAGTGGTAAAATGGCCTATTGACATTTCTAGATTACCCAACATTATGCTAAATTTTAGAGAGATTATAAAAGGATTATCTGATAGTTGTCTAGAAAAAATATTTAGAGTAATTTTGTACTGAATTTAATAATAACTGTATGCACAGTGGGAGTAAAGTATCGGCAGGTAACAAAGATTTCTCACTGGATTCCTACTTCCGGGAAACAGAGGAATGGGATAGATTTTTAAACATGGGGAACTTACAAAATTGCTTTTCTTGAATATGCAAAGTTTTGAAATTAACACCAACCCCAGCCACTGTATTCCAAAGGGAGTGAAGATTAGTTCAGAGCTTCATGCTTCAGTGCAGCTGAGACCTTGCCCTACCACTTGCTAAAGTAAAAAGGAAGCACGCATGTAAATCTAAGTATATCTAAGAAGGTGTTTCTGCTGCCTCATACCAGAACGTGTTTCAGAGATGCTTCAGTCAAGACTGTCAGCTATCTCCCAGACCCTCTAAAAAATGACACCACATAACAGCAACTCTTGCTACCTGGGACTAGCTTTGTCCTTCCTGGCACACTCAAGACTCAGGACAGTGCAAAGACACGCCTTGATTACTCTGGGAGAGGAATAATGGTGCCTACGTGATACCTGATGACCTGATGACCCATGACAGCAGTACCTGCAGCTCCTGATTACAAACTCCTTCTCTCTCTCCTAACAACCCACTCCTCCTTTACCGCTCACCCAAGACAAGACTCCTTTCTGAAACACGCATAGGACCTCAGATCTTCTTCCATTAGCCAGGCCTGGAATCCACCAAGAAGTGGCCTTTGGAAGAAGCCCACTGACAGCATCAGCCTGTCACCCTTGGGGAGCAACTACCGAGACCAAGAGTTCTTAGTTTTCAGATTGAAATATAGAAGTTAAAACAACTCAGTTCTCCTACTGAGAAGGACAATATCGAGTCATTTGACTATGACTAAGAGAAAGAAACAAAGCTTAAATCTTCCTAGTTGTTTTTGAATTTTATTAGGCAAAATTCCAAACGCTGTTACATTATCAATATACAACCAAAGTTACACATAAAATAAACAGCATCCTGCTGAAGTAACAGCCGCCAATTAAGGCTTACCAACTTGTAGATTTTGAGCCTTGTTAATCTACTCTGCATTCAGCCAAAATAATAATAATAATAATTAATTACACTTTCTAAAATGGTATTTTTACATAGACACAGATGAGTAAAAAGAAAAAATTAAGTAGCTAAAGATAACATCTCATGTGGTCATGTTTTTCTAAAGCACAAACCTCAAGAAAACACTTGCCTCTACTGAAAGCTGAGGTAAATATGAATTGTTTTCAGCAGTGTGAAATTTTGTCAAGATGGAAGAAGTCTCATAGAAGTTTCCTAACCTTACACAATAGGTAATTCCAACAATCTTGCCTCCAAGGCTTCTCTGGCTTATTTTTTTTCTTAATGAAATACGATAAAATATTAATTCAAGATGCCAAGAGACACACATAAACAGAAACATGGCCGCACGTTTGTTCTGATGTAATTGCAGGAAGTTGGCTCCACGCCTAGATAATTATTGCATTAGTTAGTGAGGGCTCCCTATAGGATTATGCAATTTTTTAAAGTAGTTAGACCAGATATCCTGTCCTTGGGAAAGTCATTTGGGTGCAGCCCCACATCAGTTGTACATTTCTGGGAGATAACAAGGCTTTTGCATACTCTGCTGTATTGTAAACTGCTATGTATAGGGACTTGCAGGCAACCAGCCAAAGATGGAGATGGGGACAGCTGATAACTCCCACATGCTAAACCATGTTAAAGCACAAACAATTCTCCCAAGCCTTCTCAAAGACCCTTCCACAGCAAATCTTTTCTTTACTTGGGCTTTGACAGCCCCTGTGAAAACAGAAGAATCTTGCAGAGAAGGGGGGTCATTTTACAGAGCAATCTCCACACATCAGAAGTTGGCAGTCTAGAAGAGAAAACCATGGGTCCAATCTACTCCTTTTGAGAAGCACAATCCAGGTACATCAAAGAAATAAATCCTTTAGAACAGTCACATTATGTCTGATCAATATAAAAGGATGCTTAGCTATTTCACACTTAATAAAACAATCCAAGTGAAAAGAAGCTCACCTTTCTTTCCCACTGAAATCCCATTAATCATCAGTTAGAGTCCATTTAAGTCTGACTGGAGCCTGGCACCTGGCTTTTGTTGGGCAGTCAATCCCGCATTGGCAAAAAGAACAAGCCCAGTGATATCCAAAATCCTCAAACCTAATTTCAGAATTAAGCTATGAGCTATAAGCACAAAAATTGATTAGGCACAAGTAAGTATACAAGCCAACCCACCTCCAACCAAATGTTCAATCCCCTAGTCTTCTAATGCTGATGAGACAATCTTTAACAGCTTTACAAAGGGCGTGCCATGTGAGCAATCAAGAGTTATTTTAGAATCTTGCACTACCCGCACAACCCACTAAGGCATTTGGTTCCCAAGATAATGCTCTGGCCTAGATTCCTAAAAATTATCCACTTTACATTGGTTCCCTCCGTGAGTGTCGCATTGCCACAGAATCTAAGCAGCCTTAGAGGTGACCATGCTATTATAAGACACTCAGAGAGGGAGGTGATGTGGCCTATGTCACAGAACATGAGTTGGGATGAGGATAAACCCCACCCCCTGATTACCTGTCCTCACACATATGAGCATGACGATCTGGCTTAGTTAATGTCTTCATGTCTCACGTCATGAGTTCAGAACCATAAATCCAAATAGCATAAGCATGCCCTGAGAAGCTCTCCCACCCAGCCACCAAAACAACTACTCTCTGCTAGTTACTCCATCACAGTCTCTGCTTGGACTACTGTCTGAGACGCAGAAACAGGGCACTTCAGGAACCATGCTAGGGTCCAGTAACAAAAATGGGTTCATTGCCTTCACATTTGCAATTTTTAAAAACTGAACGGTCATCATTACAGAATGCTGCCAGAAATCATTTCTTCGTGCACCTCTCTGACAGAACAGCTATAATTGAACCATTCTGAAGTGACGACAATTATAGGAGTAAAACATTTATAGCACGCATCTTCCCACATCCCAAATAGCTCAGGGCATCTAAAGCAGCCAACAATTACAGCTTTCTGCGGTAAGTACTGAAACTTCTGTAAAGAAAAAGAATCATTGTCAATCTTGTAAACCTAAATAACTACTGTACGCTTCATTTCTTTCTTCCTGCACAGCATTCCTGTAATTTACAATTTTCTAAAAAAAGACATCACTAATAATCACATACATTCTGTCAAAGCTAACAATAAAAGTTCTTCTCCTAATCTTGATATACAAAACAGCCGGACTCACTTTACTTTACCCTAGATATGGCTCTTTGAAAGAAATAAAAATTAAATTCATATATGTGTGCATGCATGCGGGAGTGTGTGTATGGGAAACACACACATGCATATATCATATACATATCAAAAGTGAAATGATACTTGGGCCATTTATCACCTTTAGCTAGGAAAATTGTGTTTTTAATTTCAAGGAGCATTTATATGTTACTAACAGTTTTCTCTTTTTATTCCAGCTTTATTGAGATATAATTGACAGATAAAAATCGTATATTTTTAAGGTGCACAACATGGTGATTTGGTAGACCTTTACATCATGAAATGATTGCCACAATCAGGCTAATTAACCCATCCATCATCTCACCTCACATAGTTACCTTTTTAGGGGGCAGTGGTGGTGAGAATAAGTAAGTTCTACTCTTAGTAAATTTGCAGTATACAATCAGTACAGTATTATTAACTATAATCACTGTGCTGTCTGTTAGATCCCCAGAACTTATTCATCCTCTAAGTGACACTTTGTATCCTTTGACCAGCATCTCCCCATTTCCCTCATCCCCCGAGCCCTGGCAACCACCACTCTGTTCCCTGCTTCTGTCAGTTCAGCTCTTTTAGATTCCACATGTGAGATCATACAGTACCTGTCTCCATGCGTCTGGTTTATTTCACTTAGTATAATGTCCTCCAGGTTCTTCCATGTTGTCATAAACCACAAGATTTGATATTTTTTATGGATAAATAATATTCCATTGTGTACAACACATACATATACATATATACACACACCACGTTTACTTTATCCATTCACCTGCCAAAGGACACTTAGCTTGGTTCCATATCTTGGCTATTGTGAATAATGTTGCAAAGAACATGTGGGGATACAGATATCTCTTTGAGATACTGATTTTATTTCCTTCAGCTATATACCAAGAATCACTGGATCATATAGCAGTTCTACTTTTAATCTTTTGAGGAACCTCTATACTGTTTTGCACAGTGGCTGCAACAATTTGTATTCCCACCAGCAGTGCACAAGGGTTCCCTTTTTTCCACATCCTTGTCAACATTTTTTATTTGTTGTCTTTTGATTGCAGCCACTCTAACAGGTGAGGCGATGCTTCATCGTGCTTTTGATTGACATTTCCCAGATGATCAGTGATGTTGAGCATCTCTTCATGTGGCTGTTTGCCCATCTGTATGTCTTCTTTAGAAAAATGTCTATTCAAGTCCTTTGCCAATTTTTAATCAAATTATTTGTTTTTCTGCTATTCAGTTGTATGAGTTCCTTATATATTTTGTATATTAAGCCCTTATCAGATATTTTCTCCCCTTCCACAGGTTGCCTTTTCATTTTGTGGACTAATAGTTTATTCTTAAAAAAATCTACTTTACTTTTATTTCCACATAAAATATAAATATGCATGACTATAAATAAATGATCAGGAAACAGTTGGAAAAATGGAGAGAGACTCAATTTTAGATTAGACTGTCTCTCTACAGTCCAAAATCATTGTTCTGATTTTTTATGTTTAACCTTTTTTTTCCCTACATTATTGGACAGTAACATGTCAATTAGCTAAGTCTAATAAGAATTTAAAGAATTTCTATAATTATACACCTACTTTTACTGCTTTGCCTAAGATCATTGTCACCTCCTATAAAATACTTTTCATTAAAAAAGGCAATTTCTTCAGTCCTTTGATGGGACATAATTAGCTTTTCTGACATATCAAAGTCACCCTGCAACACTAACTCTAAGCTATAACACTAAAGCCAGGTGTGCTGTTACATGACTTTTTTCTTTACAGTGCCAACAGAACTGTTGACGGATGCCTCTGTAGTTTAATATCTGACAGTAGGTGCAAGTAAATAACATTTTTATTTAAAAAACTATAATACATAGTGATAATGAAGAGCAGAGGAGGCTTTTTCATTTACAACCTGTCTATAAATTTTGGCAGGAAATTGACTCTAATTTAATATGCTCAGTCTGAGGAAGTTACTCAGTTCTAAGAACACACAGTCACAGTTAAATTGCTGTAGCCAGAATTATTCTCTCTGAAAAGAACAAAACAACAATATAAGGCACCTAACTGATGTTTCCAAATTGACACACGGTATTTGGCTGGACTTCAGCAGAAACACAGAGTTTTCGTGTCTGCAAACTTACTGCATTTATTATCGTTACTAAATAAATCTTAATTTGCTGCCCCTCACTACATGAAAAAATTATTGGTAGTTTTCCAAAAGCCATTGTATACGGAGGCCTCATAAAACACTGGCATCTTTGGTGATATGCTTTGGTAGATTGAAAGCATCACATGCTTTGCTTTAAATAAACTCATTGTACATAGCTCTGCGGTGGAGTGCTTTCATGTGCGTCACTTCTATCTCCAAATTAAGGGCTTTTCAGTCAAGACTTCAGACAATGTAAGGCAGTGGCCCCTACTGGTAAAATTTAATACTTAATACAATTTAGAATTTAATAAGAATTAAACATGATGGAAAACCACTCCAAGGAAGCAAGATTCTGAGTGTCAGGAGGTCACCAGGCCTGGACGGAGGGACCCATATGAACGTGATGGAACAATGCCCAGAGAAGAGGCAGAGCTGTGGCTTGTCCAAGGAATTCAAGACAAAAAATCAAGCTGTATAGCCTTCCTCGCATTTAATCTGTTGAGTCTACACGTCTGCCAAGGCCAAGAGTAGCATGAGCTATCTGCCACTTCTACACTTCTTGCAGAAAATCAAAATCCTTTACCTCAATCCAACAATCATTCTATCTATAAAAAACATATCTCCAAGTGTATGACGAACAGCAGTGGAAAAATTTTGTTTGCTCTACAAAAGTATGCTTTATAGCCAACTTTAAGAAAATATTTGCATTTACACTTGAGAACCAATATGTAGCTTTTACCAAGCATTGATTCAGTTGAGGCTATTATATTTGAATAGAGGGCTCTGCAAACGAGCCCCTGGATTATTGCACTTTATGAGACAAAATATTTAAGCCAAACCTAATGCTTTTGATGCAATTATTAAGCCTAATATTCACCATTGAACTAATAATCCACTGACAGGGGCAGGGATGGATACTGCTCTGTTTCCAGAGGCCCCGGCCAACATCCCTCAACTGGCTCCAACTCCGAGTATAATTCCCTCTTCACCCCAGGTCCTCAGAAAGCTCTGGGACAGGCCAGGGGAGGAGTGGTTCCAAGCACTGAGAAAAGGCTCTGCAAGGGCTTTGAAAAGATCCTCCCCTCAGTCAACTAGTCCCCATAGGGACCCTGAAGGATTCTCCCTGTATAGACGATTCCCGTTCCTTCTTCAGCAGGGTCTTTTGTGGGCTGTCAACAAACTAATGACACACTGTAAGATTTTTAGGGCCTCCTTCTTAATCATACCTTTAAAATTCTCAGAGTCCATTCCCTTTTGACATACTTATAAAGACGTGTGATGAACTTTTTAAGAACTCAAAATGGATTAAGAACTGCTCTGAGAATAAAAATGTCATCTGCATACAAAACACCATATAAAAAATGTGACAACAAAAATACAGTCTCTCTCACGTTGTCCCTCTTTCAATCCATACCAACCAAAATCTCTTAGCATGCACCTCAAAGTGGCCTCTTGGACCTGCGGCACAGTCATCATGTGAGAACTTGATAGAAATGCAGAATCTTACAGAGACTTAAATGTAAGACCTGAAACCATAAAACTCCTAGAAGAAAGCCTAGGCAGGGAGCTGTTAGTAATATGTTTTTGGATCTGTCTCCTTAGGCAAGGGCAACAAAAGCAAAAATAAACAAATGGGACTACATCAAACTAAAAAGCTTTTGCACAGCAAAGGAACCATCAACAAAACGAAAAGCCCACCTACTGAATGAGAGAAGATATTTGCAAACAATGTATCTAACAAGAGGTTAATATCCAAAATAAATAAAGAACTCATACAACTCAACATAAAAACAGAAATCAAATTTAAAAAACGGGCATAGGACCCGAGTAAACATTTTTCCAAAGAAAACATACAGATGGCCAACAGACAGATGAAAAGATGCTCAATGTCACTAGTCATCAGGGAGATGCAAATCAAAACTACAATGAGATATCACCTCACACCTGTCAAAATGGCTATTATAAAAAAGACAACCAATAGCGAGTGTTGGTGAGGATGTGGAATAAAGGGAACCCTTGTACACCGTTGGTGGGAATGCAAACTGGTGCAGCCACTATGGAAAACAGACTGGAAGTTTTTCAAAAAATTAAAAATACAACCACCATACCATCCAGCAATTCCACTTCTTGGTATTTATCCAAAGAAAATGGAAACACTAATTCAAAAAGATATAGGCACCCCTATGTTCATTGCAGCATTATTTATAATAGCCAAGATATGGAGCAACGTAAGTGTCCATTGATATATGAATGGATAATGATGATGTGGAGTGCATGTGCGTGCGCACGCGTGTGTGTGTGTGTGTGTGTGTGTGTGGTGGAATATTACTCAGCCATAAAAAGAATGATATCTCACCACTTGCGACAACAAGAGTGTATTATGCTAAGTGAAATAAGTCAGAGAAAGAAGAATACTGTATGATTTCACTTATATGTGGAATCTAAAAAAGCAAAACAAAAGAGAAACAGACTCATAGGTACAGAGAACAATATAGTGGTTTCCAAAGGGGAGAGGGGTGTGGGGAAAGGCAAAATAAGTGAAGGTAATTACTAGGTACAAACTTTCAGTCATAAAATTAATAAGTCACAGGGACGTAATATACAGCATAGGGAATATAGTCGACAATATTGTAATAACTTTGATGACAGATGTTTACTACTCTTAATAGGGTGATCATTTTGTAATGTATATAAATGTCTGATCACTATGTTGTACACCTGAAACTAATATAAAGTTGTATGTAAACTATACTTCAATTAAAAAAAAATGCAGAATGTCAGCCTCAGCCCAGACCTGCCTCATCAGAATCTGCCTCCTAACAAGATGCTCAGGGGATCTGAATGCACGTTCGAGTTTGAGAGCACTCTACATAAGAGTTTCACAAATGCTCTGCAAAGAAATTCGAAAAGATGAAATTAGAGGGAAATGTGCCATCTTCATGCTCAGTGTGGACAGACATAAAGCCAACAGAGCTATTTACTAAGACTTTGATAAAAAATACATAAAATTATAAAGCACATTTTAAAAGACATGGATTGGGAATGGGGAGTGACTGCTCATGGGTGCAAGGTTTCTTTTTGAGCTGATGAAAATGTTCTAAAATTAGATTTTGGTGATGGTTGCACAACTCTAAATATACCAAAACCCACTGAATTACACACTTTACATGAGTGAACTTGATAAGATTTAAGTTATGTCTTAGGGCAACTGTTAAAAAAGTATAGATTAAACTTTTAAAATCACAGAAAAGATCAAATATCACTAATTGTAAGGGAGATGTAAATTTAAACACCACGAGATATCACTTCACAACAAGTAGAATAGCTAAGGAGGAG